TAGAAAGTAAAATCTATTGAAGTTTGACAATAACAATATTGGCCATACAAACAATTCATGAAAGATAGTATATGGAAGAGAACTTTCACATACAAATATATTATCTTGGACATCTTCTATGATTGCGAACACCCATTAATTATTTTCACTTGAGCAAATTAGTTGAAGTTGGACAAGGAATACAACATAATGAGTTATGGTTGAGTATATTTGTATAGAAGTTATATTGTTATGGATTCTCCAACATGTGGTGCTTGTTTAGAATCTTTTGCCAGCTAAAAAATTTATACTAAGCGGGAATACTGCTTGTGCATCCAAAATCCTTGAGCCAAGTTTCTTCCATGAGTGTCCATCATACCTACCTATATACGGTATTACTCTGTCGTTCCAAGTAAATTTGCATGTGCCACCTCCAATCATTCAAATAAGCATATGTTTTGTGTGCTCTTACCGCTCATGGAGCGGCAGTGGGTGGTCAGTATCTTCCATGCTAAGCGGGTTATTCTCACGATGGGTGTTTATTCGCTTGTCATTGCACGAGAGAGGCTGTTAATTGGGATGCCCAGTCCCATGATCAAAACGCAAAATAATGAAACAAACTCCCCCGGAAAGTTCATTGTATGAAGGGCACCCGATGATTTATCCAGCCATGGCTTGTGTTTGAATGGTTGAGGGGGAGTAAACTTTACCTTTCCACTTGGGAACCGCTTATAATGTGTTTAGCATGGCTGATATCGAGAACTCTCGGTCGTGACATTGACAGGAAAAGCATGCCTCTCAAAATGTATTCATATCCGTTTTAAGCATTGAGCTTTCGTACCTCTGCAAATCCATACTTCCCTCTGCGAAGGGCCTATCTTTTACTTTTCAGTTTTTTACTTTCATGCAAGAGTGGATAGTATTTCTTCTTATTCCAACCTATTCTTTAGTTGGCAAGCATCACGTGGTGAGGAAAGATCCAGGCATATATGGTCATTCAAATATATTTGATCATGATTTATTATTGTTGAAAATTATCTCTATGATAAATAAGTTGGGAAGAGAAACATTAAATCCATATCTTTCTCTGTGTGTGTTCGATGGATGTTATTTGTTCTAAAAATATGCTTTGAGTATTAGTATCATAGAAGATTATATGGTAATTAAGTATGTGGAGCTCTTATTTAGACTTGGTTGAAAATAAGATGGGTTGAAATTGTTTGGTGACTAAGAACATAGGTGACCGGCTGACTGAATTTAGTTGTGTGACACAAACGATTCAGGGTGACAAGACGCTGACGTGGGACCTGACGGTGCCAGGGTGGGAGGCGAGGTACACGGAGGAGTTCGTGCCCGCCGACGAGGGCGCGTACACCATCGTGGTGAGTAAGGGCCGGAAGGTGGGCGCCGGCGAGGAGGCGGTGCGCAACTCGTTCTTTTGTGCAAGAGAGGTAGTGGTACATTGTGTTGTGTTTGGCGAGCATTCTTTTGTCATGGAATTATTATCTGAGAAACATAAAGAGCTTGCAAAATGTACCTTTCTTTTTGAATGGCATTACAGGTTTTTACCCTTTTTCTAGATTTTTTAGGGCAGCCGTTTCAAAAAATATGTAGATAAATTATTATTTTTTACCTAATTCCCTAAAAACTGTTTGGTGGGCTCAGCCCGCTAACGCACTCCTCTGCGCAGACGGATTGCAGCCCAGCCCGAGCCCCACATCCTCCGCAATCTCCTTCTCCGTCTAGGCGCAGCTGCATCGCCGGCGCTAGTGGCCCCCGATCTCTCTCTCTCTCTCTCCCCCCTTCGGCGTCCACGAGCAGCTACCGTGCCGCCGCAAGCCAGTGCCCAGCCCCTTCGCTGATTGAGGTGGGCGACGCTTCTCCTGCGGATCCATCCCTCCTGTTCTCTCTGCCCGCCCGCCACCTCCATCCGTGTAACGAATGCCCTTTTGGATTCTGAATGCTGATTGAGATCTCTCGTTGATGCATGCTACTGTCTTCAGAATTCCAAGTAGAGATTTATTAACCAAACAATCAGCACAAAATAGTACTCCCTACGTCCCAAAATTCTTGTCTTGGATTTGCCTAGATACGGACAAACCTAAGACAAGAATTTTAGGACGGAGGGAGTAAAAGCCATTGCAGACAAACACGCCCTCGGTTTTTCTTGCTGTAATTGATTTTCTTCCTAGTTATTGCCAGTTTGCGCATAAAACTGCAGCCACATCTGAATTATACGGATTGCCAGTTAACTCTTTGGTCATCTGAACTCGTTTGGCCGATAGATGGCTCGGTGAGTCCATGAATTGGCATGCAGGTCCATAGCAACCGTACGCATTTCGATTGCTGCCCATCCGGTTCACAACAACGGCGTAAATCCGTAACGCTTACATGTGCATTGTCATTTTGGAGACAAGAATTACCAAATTTCCGATGCGCGCATGTCAGCTGCTAGGTTTTGATCTAGCCTTGCCACGGTGCTGGAAGATCTGACTATGACTTGTTTTCTGTTTCATACTGGTTAGTTGGCTTGAAGTGCTCTGGTTCGCGAGGATGCCGAAGGATGCGGGGGATGCCAAGCTCCTTTTTCAGTCCCTGAACAAGGCCTACGCCGCCACGCCCACGAACCTCAAGGCAATTGCCATTCTCTCTCGTGTTGCCGTCAACCTGTGGCCACAGTCAGACTATCTGATTGCTGATCCTATTCTAACATTTCTGCAGATCATTGACCTGTATGTGGTTTTCGCCATGGCGACTGCCCTTGTTCAGGTAATTTTTCGATGCTTCACTTTTTACCGAGGATATGTGATTTTAGGATGGAGAAGTTAAATCTTACTTGAACGTCTTCGTTTTTCAATAATACACGGGTGCAGAGAGGGCTGTCACGTCATGAAATTTCTTGTTCTAGTATAGCATGAGGATTTGGAAAGGCAATGTCATGTTTCTCTATTATGCCACATTTCTCAATTTTGAGTAGGAGCAGGGTATCAGCATTCAAAAATCTGCTGTACCTGGTACCTAGTCATCTGGCAACCAAATTTGTGCAGGTGTAAATGGCATGGATTGCTAAACATTTGTATGCCCTGTGATGTTTGAATTGACAGATGAAGTTTAGCCGTTGTTTTCTAGGTGGTGTGTGTGATATAGTGTGTCCTGGACAGATTGTTAGGATCAGTGCAAGTTTCCTTTAAGCATGTACCGTTTGCTGACTACCATTATCCTTAGTCTTCAGTTTATAAGCCATTATAAGTCTTCAGTTCATTCATAGTTACAGAAAAGCTGAGCCATTTGCTGACTACTAAAATAAAATGCTCACTTATATGACAAACCAGGTTGTTTACATGGGAGTAGTTGGGTCATTTCCCTTCAACTCGTTCCTCTCCGGTGTCCTGTCATGCATAGGAAGTGCAGTTCTTGCTGGTAAGAATTTCTTAACCCCCTCTTGATCCTGGTTACCCTTCCTTGGCTGCATGATATGAAACTGTCTATGTTCTTGCAGTGTGCCTCCGTATTCAAGTCAACAAGGACAACGAGGAATTCAAGGTAACTCTACGTTCACTGTCAGCGTTTTATCTGCTGCGATAGTTTGTTCTTTGGATTTCCAGCATAACGTTGTACGTCAAAACATTATCTGCAGGATTTTCCTCCAGAAAGGGCCTTTGCAGATTTTGTCCTGTGCAATCTGGTGCTCCACCTGGTGATCATGAACTTCCTCGGATAAGCCACTGCCCTACAAGTTTCCGAGATTTTGTAGTGTCCTAATGTTTGAGACTGACATCATGTTAAATATTCATGTGGTGTCACACAACTGTCTGTGTGATCCGAGAGTTTCTCCATGTGCTATAATAATTTTGTGGATTTAGCATTAAAAATGTATGAAAATGAGAACTTCATTTCTTTTGAGGGGGTGAAACTGGCAAGATCACTTCAATATGATCATTGTTCTTCATTATCCAAGCTGTTGAGGGAAATACTGATTGCCTGGATGGTCGCAATGCCTTCGAGCTCCAAACTTGAGTTTGCAAACATTGGCACCTGGATTTCTGTACTCCGAGTATCATTTGTGTCGAAGAGTGAACTACTGTGTGGTACTGGATATCCAAGTTCTTCATTCAATCCAAAATTACTTCAGTTTTATTACACCAGATTTTGGTATCCAGTTTTGCCTGTGTTGGATCAGCGTGCCTGCTGCTTTCCTGGTACCATGAGTCACCATGGTTTGTGGTACAAAATTTCCTCAACTTCCTTGACCAAGCGTCATGAAGGGACGCGTTTCCGGTGCACACTTGAACCAAACAAAGCTGGCAATTTTTTTTCATTTCCTCAATCTGATCTTAGTTGTGTTACCAAAGTTCGACCAAACAACACCTTATAAGAAGGCTCTGTTTGATCTTTTATGCCACGCACCAGACCTGCTTTTGAAATGCCCTTGCATTTTTGAGATTTTCCAAATGCATAAAGCAAAACAGATGCCACTTTTCTAGAAGACCAAAACAACATTGCGAAACAAATTTCCTATCAAGGCAACATGGAATTAAGAAATTATAACAGAATATATATGTATATAAATAGCACTACATGAACCAACTGTCAGCCTACAGGCAAGTTCATTGCAAGATCGAATGAAGTTGCCTGTAGGTTGGGAAGTTCATTCAACCAAAGCATGATGAAACTCCGGTTGAAACACATTCCAAGATCCCAAGATGACAGAAGCATATTTGGCAACTTGGCCCAAAAATATTGGACACAGAATAGAGATTTTGCAGTCTAGTAGCACTACTGAATAACACTGGTAGCAGTCACAGTCAAACCTTACACCAAATGCTCATCACGACATGAGCATACACGACAACCACAGGTCCACATAACGAAAAAATAAGTCTGTCGAGGCAAAACGACCAACATTTATAACGGAAAAAAAATAGCATCTAGCTATCATCACCTAACAGCACCACGAGCACTCCAACGACTTGGCGAGCGATATAAGGCATATCCATAGGAAGAATGGGAGGAGATATGGCTTAGGCGGCCTCCTCGTCCTCCTGCTCATCCTCGTAGTCCTCTTCCTCCTCGACCGTCGCGTCCTGGTACTGCTGGTACTCGGCCACCAGGTCGTTCATGTTGCTCTCGGCCTCGGTGAACTCCATCTCGTCCATGCCCTCGCCCGTGTACCAGTGCAAGAAGGCCTTCCTCCTGAACATGGCGGTGAACTGCTCGCTCACACGGCGGAACATCTCCTGGATCGATGTGGAGTTGCCGACGAATGTGGAAGACATCTTCAGGCCCGTGGGCGGGATGTCACACACGCTCGACTTGACGTTGTTGGGAATCCACTCCACAAAGTATGACGAGTTCTTGTTCTGCACGTTCAGCATCTGCTCGTCAACCTCCTTGGTGCTCATCTTCCCACGGAACATGGCTGAGGCAGTGAGGTAGCGGCCGTGCCTTGGGTCAGCGGCACACATCATGTTCTTTGAGTCCCACATCTGCTGGGTGAGCTCGGGCACAGTGAGGGCGCGGTACATCTGTGAACCCCGCGAGGTTAGCGGAGCAAATCCAACCATGAAGAAGTGCAGCCGTGGGAACGGGATCAGGTTCACAGCAAGCTTCCGGAGGTCTGAATTGAGCTGACCAGGGAAGCGGAGACAGCAGGTAACGCCACTCATGGTTGCAGAGATGAGGTGGTTCAGATCACCGACTGCAAACAATAAAGAAAGATGAGAACCAAGTGAATAAATAAATTTGTGAGCAGAAACAGAACAACAAATTAACTAATGTGGTATAGTAAGAATGTTCATCTTTCCAGTCCGCCAATCATGAGCTTATTGAAAGGCTCCAGGTAACATGTGAAATCAAATACTGATTCTAGTAATACCACCTACAAGGCTAGCACAAGCAACAGCTTATGAACTAACTATCCTTCATGGTGTTAAAGGTAATAAAATTAGTGTATACATGTACATAATCAGTGGCATAAAACATATATATACAAGAAGATCCATACAAAACAAAGAGGTAAAGGTGTAGTATATTAGCTGGTGCAGTTTATTAAGAATGTTAATCTTCAGTTCACCAATCATGAGCTTACATGGACAATCAAATGCTGATTCAAGTAATACCACCTACAAGACTAGTATATTGAGAATGTTAAGATTCAAGTAATACCACCTACAATACCAGCACAAACAACAGCTGAAGAAATAACTACCCTTTGTGATGTTTGCAGATTGCATTTACAAACATCACACAGAGTGGTACACAACAAAGGAAATGAAGAATCAGTTGTAGAGTGGTACACAACTTAGAACATAAAGAGGTAAGAACCAAGCAAACAATTTTAGCTAGTGCAGTGTACTAAGAATGCTACTCTTTTCAGTCCACCAATCATGAGCTTATAAAATAAAAGGGCCCAGTTTACATGAGCAACCAAATACTGATTCTAGCAATACCACCTACAAACTAGCACAGCAACAACTTTAGAAATAACTATCCTTCATGGTGTTGAAGGTACTGAGATCAGTTTTTACATTTAGACAATCAGTGGCATAAAGCATATGTACCAGAAGATCCATGCACAACACAGGAAACAATGTGTACATGTGCAATTACTGTGACAACAAAATGCTGACAACCATGTTCACAAATTGCATTTACTGGACTCAACAATAGACTCTATTAGCTCGGTAATCCAAAGACTAACACATGGAAATGGAGAACCAGTTGTAGGGTATTACACAACTTACAACACAAGTAGGAATTAACACCTACTGAGCATCATCTGAAAGCAACATGTACGTGAGACTAAACATGAGTGAAGACAAAAATGGTATTATAAGCAAGGACAACACAACAGTTCAGCAAGATGTCAATTAATGCCGACACATGAATTCAGATTTATTTATGTATTTGCATAAATGGACCTGGAGAAGATTTTAGCACTTACAGGTGGGAGTGGTAAGCTTCAACGTGCGGAAGCAGATGTCGTAGAGAGCCTCGTTGTCAAGAACCATGCACTCATCCGCATTCTCAACAAGCTGGTGCACAGAGAGCGTAGCATTGTATGGCTCCACGACAGTGTCAGACACCTTGGGCGATGGGAACACCGAGAAGGTCATCATCATCCTGTCTGGGTACTCCTCCCTGATCTTGGAGATGAGCAGGGTACCCATTCCGGAGCCAGTGCCTCCTCCCAGCGAGTGGCAGACCTGGAATCCTGCAGTGAGGAAGAGAGGAATAATTAGTTGCGCATCTAAATCACCAGTCACTGCACCAGTAAGCGCACAAAGTAGACATTCAGAGAGAAATTAATCGCCCAAATTCCTAAATGGACTCGTAAATCCGTCGAATCTACGACAAACATTTCAGATCTACAAGCTCACGGCGCCCGAAATGCGGAATAAATCACAGATCTACATGCTAGATGCGTCTAGGGCAGAG